AGTTCTTGTGCTACAAAAGGAACTCGTTCAGGTCAAGAACTTGCACTTGTGGCTCATATATTTCTCCGCCCCATCCATTACAATATTGCTTTATCAAAGGTCTGCCCTCGCGTCTTCGTCGACCTTAGGCGTTAACTCGCGTCATGCAACGGCCGAAGCGGGCCGGGCCGAGCCGGGCCGGGCCAGGGCGAGCGGGCGGCGCACGTGGGTATTTGTTTACGCGTCGGCGTGCGTGCGCGCACGCGTGGTGAGGGGGGCGTGGACGCATGCGTGCGCAGCGGACGTGCGTGGCCGTGCATCGCATTGATCACTGTCACGCGTCCCTCGACGCGGAGGCGAGCCGACGCGCGCTCTCTCACGGGAAGAGCGGGCGGGCGGAGGGGCGTCTGCGGAGGGGAAAGGCGCGAGGCTGGCGGGGCGGGGTGGAGCGGGGCGCGGGTGGCCGCCCCCGCCCCTCACTTGATGACTAATGGCGCCCGCTTTTCGGCAGCGGAGACGTGGTGGGCTGTGCGACAACAACGGAAATGCATCTGCACTTTTGGGTGTGTGTTGGTACGATCGAAAGGTACTTCGTAGGAGCTTTAGAGTTTCTTCGTTGAATTGGGCCAATGTGTAACACATTCATTGAATTGATGACACGTCTTTACTATTCCTGTGAATATTCTTGAAATAGTAGTGTCTGTAGAAAGCAGGGCTGGCACGTTTGAAGTGTGTATTGCAAGATGCCATGTCGGTATATTTCTAAGTTTTGTAGTTGCCATAATTATTCGGTGTATTTGTGAATTCTTTGCCTTTGCAGGTCATATTAATCTCCACATTTCTTGAATTCTGCTTGTATTAAATTGTCTGCATAAGTTTGAAATGGATTATACTGCTCATGATTCATTTTCCTGGCAATATAAATCCATATCCTATTTAATGGAACTGAACTTTCTAGTCAGTGTGTCTTGTGATAGTGATAGTGAGTCTAGTCTTGTGATAGTGAAGCAAGTTAAGAAAGATATTCTCTTGTGCATTATTTGTTATCGTTCTACTTTCATTAGCCACATTCTATCCATATTTGCTAATTTTGATGCTGATGAAACTATATTTTAAAACGATTAAGTAAATATATTTAAATGTCCATAATGTATTCAGTTTTCTTTACAATAATATATGAGCCATAAATCAAATAAAGTGGTTGTTTTGATTGTCCAATGAAAATATTTCGTTGAAAGTATTCAAAATAGTATACGTATTACAATTATTTTTTAATAAATTAAAATATGTAGAGACAGTCTACATAGCTTCAAGCTTAGGCCTACCATTCCAAAATATGATAGAAAATCTGCGGAACATTGTTCTTCAATATTTTAATTTTTGTTAATTGTTACATTTGTAAGAACTTCATTTACGGTGATGCTCTTAAATAATGTGTAATGTGTGGGTTAATTAACGTGCATTTTATCTTTTGCAACTCAAGAAAATTCTGTACTACAATACCTTCAGTTGCTAAAATCCATTTACTAGATTGTTCGACGTCAATGAATTGCATGCTCTGATTAGGAAGAGAATTGCGAAAGATATTTTCGTCATTTCTCAAACAAATTAGAACTCACACTCAGCAAAAAAAAAATCGACGAATCTAAATTTGTCATATTGTACATGATTTAATTGAATATTAATACATTTGGAATGGTTTGCTCCTTTTCTGTATTAACGAGGAAAAATTGATAAATAATCTTGAACACATGGGTAATTGAACGTCATAAAATGACAATGTAATTCTAGGGCTTTTTCTAATAATTATACAAAGAGGTAAAATAGAAAAAAGAATAACTAACATTATTAAACATTTGCCTTTTTATTAATATCTCTAGTTTTTATAGAAAATTCATACACTTGTAAATTTTGATTGTTCAACATCTTTGTTCGAATTTGAAACTACGGTTTGAAGGATTCATTTAGAAATATGTAATGATGAGTATTAATTGCAAAAAGTGGCATAAAAAATAATATACTTTGGACAGTTATTCAGTTTTGAGATGTAGTTAAAATCTTGGGTGTTGAAATTCAAGTTTCCATTTCCTATTCCTGATTCCAGCATCTAATACTATATTTTTCAGAGAAGTTTATTTTATATAAATGGTATTTCCGAAGTATTAAGTTATTCTACAAAATCGCACTTGACTATTTACAAAAATCGTCCATGATATACTCCAGCAATTTTCAAAATAGTTGCATTATGGTTTTGAGTGTTAAAAGATGTGTATAATGGTGAAAATGATAATGAATATTCTGGCAATACTTTTAATCCCTTTTTAACCTGTCATTGGGTCTTGCAAATCAACGAATTCATTACTTTTGCCGTCTTTGTCGTGAAGTCAGCTCAAATCCCCCATGCCTGGATGTATGAGCAGCATGAAGGCTCGGTCGTGTGCATACCTCTTTCGCGGCTAAGTTACCTGCCCCACTGGAGCTTCGCCGCGATCAGACCGTCACAATAGTCGCTTTTTCGGAGGTTTGATTTATGCGCCCCCTCTCTACTATCACGGCTGTGAATCCTGTTTGCAATTTGCCTGTATTTGTGGAGGTTGACGTGCGCGCCCTTTTATAAATAACTCCATTTAAAAATTATGTGGCGCGGCTGGCGTCCGTAGTTTTTGTGATCGTTTGTAACGGAAACTAACCTTGAAATTTAGAAAGGCATTCATATATAACAACGCCGCCTGTTTACCTGCATCGTACTAACCCGTGGGATAGTAATATCCATATACAACTCAGCGCACACAACTTCGAGCACTCCGGCACCACGATTTTCACGGTTGAACAGGATCTCTGGGCAGGCCCTATCACTGGCCGTTTAATATTGTCGCGTCGAGCACGGCCCGGGCAGGAAACGAGCCGCGAGCCCTCTTGTATAGTGCTCTTGACCTTACATAAATGCTGTAATAATGGAGCCGTTCAGTTGTATTCATGTCACTTTAACCGCGCTCTTTATGTGGAAAGCAATAGCCGTACATTTTGAATTTGAACGCTGCTCTGTACTGTCTGTAGAAGTAAGAATCCTTATTGGTCTGGTAGATAACTTCAGTGTTTTTTCTTTTCTCAATTGTTTCTGAGGTTTCTCTCGTTTATGCGGTTAAATAATAATTGGGAAATACGCAGTTAATAGCTGACTACAGAAAGGAGGAATATACTTGAAAATGGATGTAAATGGTATGTTTCGGAACAACATCCAGATGGAAGAAAAATACATTTCACTGGTTCTTCCGCCGGGTATTTTTATATTAATTGATGATTAACTCTTTCAAACAACTTATGTAGTATATGATTAACTCTTTCAAACAATAGTACCACAGTAGGCAGGAGGTGAAAAACATTTTATAGCAATGTGTCAGAATTTCACTCACATATTATTTAACCTTATCTCAGATATATGCCTGCCAACAATGAAATGTCAGCAGTACTCTTTCAGACATCAAACCATTTCAAATAATATTCTGGTTTAGGTTAATAAAATATTTAGGTTTTGGTACAGGCTTTTGGAAACAAAATGATTTTGTTTTGATTTTAAATCGCTTCCAAAAGATTTTCCTTCATTTGTATTTAATAATTTCCAAACTTATGATAATATTACAGAATTTCCATATATCAGAGTTACTGACTACATCTTTCCCGCCTTTGCCAGGGCAAAAATTTCTATATTTTGAATGAAAGAAATAATTAGAAATATCTGCTCACTTTGACATCGAAGTGCGCTTTGAACTACTTTTCAACACATATACCTAACACCACAAGCAAGAAATTATGAAGGTCTTTTAAAAATCGAAACAGCATTATTCTGTTCCAGTGGTATGTATGAAAATAAAGAATGACGCTTTCGTTCGCTATCGAAATGGGTTTCAGTGGTTTGTGCTTGATGCATTGGCCGTATTTCAATTTAGTACTAGAATCAAGATTGGGTATTATGCTTATTGCCTGGAAGAAAATACCGAATTTGGAGAGAGATATTACTTTGAAGGATAGAAGATATCCTCAATTCTTTAATTCTTTATTAGGATATTATATTTTTTTCTAATTTTTACTAATTATTAATTGAATACAGTTTTTAAATTTCGTATTACTCATTATGATAATTAAATTCCCATTCACTTTATTTTTAACTAAGATACCCTTCAAAATATTTATAGTTGAAACATTAAATTTGGTCTGTCATTTATTAAAAAATCTCCACTCGCGTTTCCTTGTGAACGATGGCTATACGTTCTACTACTCAATCAAGTACATGAGCTCCGATATGCAATAAGACATAATATATTTTACTTTTTTCGTTACGTTGCATTCATGTAGTAAAAGGAAATGCTCCTTGCCCCACCACGTCTTGCATGGTCGATTAGGACGGCTGGCCGTGGAAACCACTTCAGAGCCGAAGTTCTAAACATTTTGTTTAGGACCTTCAGCCCGCAATAGATTTTCGCGTTTTCAGTCGCACTCTTCACAATGCTCGTTGCTGGAACGTAACTAAAGACGGCGAAGCGTGACCGAACCGGACGAAACGTGACGGCGCCGGCGTGGGCCGGGGCGGGCGCGGCGGGCGGTCGACGCCGCGCCTGCCGTGCGTCCGGCCGGCCGTTCGCCCGCTGCCAAGCGCCGTCTGGGGGCCTAACTTACGTCTGTGACAATCTGATGCCGAGGTAATGAGATGTTCTGGAATGACTTAGCGGGGGAAAATTGGTGGTGAATGTAATGAATGATCCAGATGGAAAATGTGGAGCATTAATTATCAGTTCTATTCTATAAACGTATTAGCAAAGTAACGTCTAATGAGATAATAAACATAGGTTGTTACAAAAGCATGGAAGCTAATTTGAATTGAATTATGATTCGAAAACATTCTAAAATCGTGGTGTGCCATTGTGACATCATGAAAATAAGCTCAGAAAGTCAGTTGTGTTAATACATTATATTTTAAATATTCCATTAATCATTAAATGCCTTTTGTTATAACAAGAACAGATTTAACAAGATCCCAATTGTTCATTGAAGGGCGGCGAAAGAAACATTTGTAGGCCCAAGATAACCCCAATTGACGCTGTCGCCGCGTTTCGGGCACCGCCCGACGGGTAACGAGCCGGTTGCAGCGTCGGCGGCTGTGGCTGCGGCGACGGCAGCGCGGGAGCGGTGGCGACGGCCTCGCATCCTAAGGAGCCTGTTCCGAAGTCATCGCGGGCGGCGCCGACGCGCGCATCTGGTTGGCTCGCAATTTAGTGGGGCGCGCGCTAATCCCGCTGAATTAATGTGTCTAATGCAGCCGGGAGGCGCTGGCCCGGCGTAGCGGCGGTGAGGAGGGAGAACGAAACGAGAGAGAGAGAAGGGGAGAAGAGAGACTTCAATGCACGTTCAGGCGGGCAAACCTGTTCCGCGGGGAGGCGGAATTTTTCATGGTTTGCGCGGAATCTAATGAATCACCGCGTAAAATAGCACGTTTCCTACCGGCAAAACACCGCCCTCGTCGCTGAAGAAAGTAGAGAGCGGGGGAGGAGAGGGCATCGTTGAAAACGAGAGAACGGTTTTTAAAAACAGTAATTTAGATTTCAGCGCAAAGGAAGAGGCTCGTTGCATTCTTTCCAAGCCGGACTGGCGGCACCGTGCCGGCCGGAGGTAACCACTAACTAGGAAGAAGGGGGAGGCTGTGCAGTTTGCATTCGCCGTATGGGGCCGGCCGCGGAAACGCTTGCTTAATGCTATCCAAACACCTGCCTGCCGGAGAGTCAGCGAAGCGACGACTCTTGCGCGCGAAGTGGTGTGCTCTTTTGTTTTCCTTGCGTCCCTGCGAACGCCTCATGCAGTGTGCCGTGTTATCACGGCTATCTTTTCTACCTTTGACAACTTGCGATTATTGCAGCCTACTTACAGTGAAGGACAAAAGGAGTGGGTGGCTGAGAGATTGAAGGAGTAATGATTATCTTATAAATCAAACAAGATGAATAACATTTATAGAATTATGGGATTTATTGTTCGCTTCAATCCCAATGATAGCAAGCTTTGTTTTCATATAAATTTATGTACAGTTCATTTAAAATTAAGACTTTTTTCACAAGACCAGTTCGTAGGTTGGCGAGTATGTATACTCAGTGTTTGTGAAAAGCAAGAATGTGGCACAGCCTTTTCGTGCTTTTCACTTATACAAAATCAGTCAGATGGTGCAAGTTTGCAGTTTATCATAATATACACTAGAACTGATTATAGCAACAGTACATGAAGGCAGATATAACTACTGTATATCTTTACTGAAGAGAGCAACGGGCAAGTGTATAAAATGTAATATAAAATAATGTTTAGATTTACCTTCCATTATTGCTGCATAGTCGATGTTGGCAAAACTTGGAAGCTCGAATAGCACCAAAATCACAAGCACAAATTATTACAAAAACATATAAATACAACTGTGAACAACAGTAGCTGGTTGTATCCATGTGCTGTTTGACATTTTAAGCAGACTATAATAACTTATTTCTTGTAGTCAACACTTCCATTATCACTTCACACATTTTCCGACGTATTTACACGATCACTTATTTGCAACTCACTTCAACAAAACACTGTGACTGGATTGTACACTTAAAAATTATTATTTAATAATAGTCGCATTTCGTCGCATTTTCCGTATATTACAAAATAAAATAAACAACAAAATAAAGAGCATTACAATTAGTATCACGTGTATCCTCTCGCGCACTTATCACAACCGTGTTTGCACACGACGCACACGCAGGCGGGGCGCGCGGGGGCAGGGGCGGGGGCGTGGGCGGGGAGGGGCGGAGGCGCGCGGGAGGGCAGGGGGCGGGGACGGCAGGGCAAGGGCGGCAGGGGCAGCTTGCGGCGGCGGCCAAGCTGCGACGGCGGCCGGAACCCACCGCGATTCGGCCGGGGCGCCGCGCGGCCCCGCCATTCTATATGTGGATGGCGACGGAGCGCGGGGTGGTGTTGGCGCTGGTGCCTGCGGCCCGTGGCTGTGGTTGTTGTGCCGGTCACGTGGTGGGTGTACCACGTGTGCCGCGGCGTGGCCGCTGCCGCCGCGGCCACGGCGTTGCTGTTGCGCGGGCCGCCCAGCCGGCCTCGCTTGTTGTTGGGCACGTCGGGTAGCGCGAACCTCAGCTTCTCCCAGAACAACTTGTCGCCCCACTGCAAGTACGTGTTTGTCTTAAGGTACAACCGGATGTCCGGGTCCAAGTCTTTCTGCGGGACCTCCCCGAGCAGCACCACGATCAGTCTTTTTCTGCGGTCGCGCAGCACCTGGTGATGCGCCGACTTGAACTCGAAGCGGCACCACTCCGACTTGATGAAGTTCTCCGACAGGATCATAATGGTCCTGCGCGACGACTCCACGGCCTGCACGATCGTTTCGGCGATGAAGGCGCCCACGGGGAAGTCTCTGTAGTGCAAGCACAGCTTGTAGGGCGGGTCGCCGTGCTCGAGGTGCGGCGCCAGCTCCTCCGCCACGAACGTCTCGTCTTTGGAGCTGTAGCTCACGAACGCGTCGAACAGTTTGTCGCGGTCGTCGCGGTCCTGGTCCGAGGACCGGTAGAACAACCGGATGCCGAAGCGCGAGTGGAACCACACGCGGAGCTCTTGGCGGTAGATGAATGTCACGAGAATCATGAAGATCACTACCACTGCCGCACACAACGTGGCTATCAGCAGAGGAATGTAGTCGTTGATTGGTTGTCGCTGAATGATATTTTTCACTACTGTCACATTGTTGACAACACTACTGACATTCACACTACCATAGCACGTGGACGAGTTATCGGAAATCATAAACAAACCGTTATCAAACTCCACATCTGATTCATCCGCCTCGGATTCGTTCGCACCGCGCACGCACCGTATAGACGAGGCGTCTTTCACACTTTCTATGTTCTTCTGCAACCACTCGCGGAAGCTGTTGGTGTAGTCGCAGTCGCACGACCACGGGTTGGCGGCGAGGGCCACCTTGGTGAGCGTGGACGGCAGGTGCCACACGACGAAGCGCGACAGGCGGTTCTGCGACAGGTCCAACTTGAGCAGGCGCGGCGTGGCCGCGAACGTGGAGTTGTGGACGGCCGTGATGCGGTTGCGCTGCAGGTACAGCTCCTCCAACTCGTCCAGGCCCTCGAACTCGTACCCGCGCAGCTCCCGCAGCGAGTTGTCCTCCAGGCGCAGCGTGCGCAGCTCTTTGAGGCCGTTGAAGGTGCGGTTGTGGATGATGTCGATGTTGGACGCGTTCAGGAACAGCACTGACAGCTTCCGGCGCCCGATGAACGCGTGACTCACGAGCTGCCGAATGTCATTCCCGTCCAGGTACAGCTGCGTGGCGTCCATGGGGATTTGGTCCGGTAACCTCTGCATGTATCCGGCCGACGTGCAATCAACAACGTTCGCGTTCCACGCCTGATCGTGGTAGCACGTGCAGTTGGTAGGGCACGTCATTTCACAGTCGCACGCGTCGAAGTCACAGCAATGACACGAGCTGAAGCAGTGCGTTTCGTAGCGGCACAGGAACTGCTGCGGGGTCGCCTCCACGAGTGGTACGTACCGGCGGCCACGGTTATACAGAAGCTTACAATAAATGTGATTCAAGTCCACAAGCTTCGGCTGATTTCGAGCACTGTTCGTGTTCACCCTTTGTAACCACTCCATATCACAGTCACACTGGTAAGGGTTTCCCCCGATATGGAACTCAGGTAGCTTCTGAGTGCCGGCCACGGACGAAATTCTCAGCGAATGGGGCGTGAGGCTGCTTATGTTGTTGTTCTGGAGGTCCACCCGAGTGAGGTTAGGTTTCTTGAAAAAAGTATACGACTGCACCTTGTTGATCTTGTTGTCGTTAAGAAACAGCAGCTCGACGGAGTCGGGGATGGAGCTGCCCGTGATTTCGGTCAGCCTATTAGAGCTGGCGTCGAAGGTGCTCAGGTGCAGCTGGCTCTCTATTTCGAAGTAATTGCCCAGCTCGGCGATCCGGTTCGCGTGTATGTCGAGCCAATGCAGCCCGGTCGGAATGAGCGCGTAGTCGAACCACTCCAGCTGGTTGTCGGAAATGTTCAGCCAGATGAGGCTGGGTAGCTTCGCGAAGAGCCCGGTTATGTCCGACAGGTAGTTGCCGTCCAGACGAATGGCCTGCAGGTTAATGTTGCTGTCGAAAGCGCCCGCTTCAATTTTGTGAATTTTATTGCGCGATAAATTAAGAATTTTTAAACCGGTCATCCGGTCAAAGGTTCCCTTCGTGATGTTGCCTATGTTGTTCTCCGTTAGCCGCAGGCCGTATATGTGCTTCATGTCGCTCAGGGATGTATTGGCGATGTTGATTATGTGGTTTTCACCCAGGTCTAATGTCTTTAGAAGCGGTACGTCCCTTAGTACTTCAGGAACATCTAGGAACTGATTTCCGTTGAGGTGGAGGTCCTGAAGGCTCGAGGAATTTTTTAATGCTTCGGGGTGAATGCTTCGGATGTTGTTGTTATCTAGGGAAAGGAGACTAAGGACATAGAGGCCATTGAAGGTATAGCTATCTATCACGGCTAATTTATTGTTGGATAGGATTAATGTATGCAGATTGTAAAGAGAGGCAAAGGTGTTCTCGGGTATGGTCTCGATGACATTGTCCTCGAGGCGCAGGATTTGCAGGCTGTAGAGGTCGCGGAAGACGGAGGCTTCGAGCTTGGCGATGCGGTTCCCGGACAGGTTGAGCACGACGAGGCGCACGAGGCCCGTGAAGGTGGCGGCGTTCACCCACTCGGAGGTGAGCTCGTTGCTTGACAGGTCGAGCACGAGCAGTTGCGACAGCTCCCCGAACAGCCCCGGCGCGAGCACGTTGATGGAGTTGTTTTGCAGGTACACCTCCTTGATGTCACGCGTGTCCGCGAACAGCTCGGGCGGCAGGCTGATGAGCTTGTTGTGCGCCAGGGTGAGCACGGTGAGGGAGGTGAGCCCCTCGAGCGCGCGGTCGGCCAAGAAATTCATGCCGTTGCCCTGCATGTTGAGGCGCTGCAGGCGCGACAGCCCCGAGAAGACGGCGGGCGGCAGGGAGTCGACACTGTTGTTGGACAGGTCGAGCATTTTGAGATTGGCGCCGCAGCGCGACCCGGGCGGTGACGCCCCCGCACTAAAGCGGAAGCCGGCCACGTCGCGCAGGCGGTTGCGCGTCAGGTTGAGCACTTCCAGGCTGTGCAGGGAGCAGAAGACGCCGTCGGGCAGCGTCCACATGTTGTTCTCGCCCAAATCCAGCCGCTCGAGCAGGCCGAGCTCCTCGGTGAAGGCGTCGGGGTCCACCTGCAGTGTCATGGCGGACCAGTCGGTGTTGTGCGTGCGCAGCGTGAGGTTGCGCAGCTCGCGCAGGCCGCGGAAGGCGCCCGCCGACAGGTTGCCGATCTTGCAGTACCAGATGGCGAGCTCGCGCAGCTCCACCAGCGGCCGGAAGCTGCCGGCGCTGAGCGAGCTCTGGAAGAAGAGCACGTCGCTGCACTCTAGGCGCAGCTTGACAGTGTGCTCGGGCTGGATGACGCTGAAGTTGGTGTTCTCGAGCTCGCTGTTGATCGTGCGCAGGCGGCACTCGAGCGCCACTTTCTCCGTGGAGCCGCCGATTTCGCCGCCGCTCGCGAGGAAGTCGGCACCGCCCGCGGTGATGGTGCCGGGCGGCATGTTGGCCGGGCGCGCGCGGCACTCGTCGGGCGCCTGGTAGCGTAGGGCTTTGCTCAGCGACGCCGACAGCACGCCGAAGATGGCGCCCAGGAACATGGTGAACACCACCGGGCTCGCCTGCATCGTGCCGGCCACTATCGCTCTCTCTCTCTCGCTCTTTCTCACTCTCTCTCTCTCACTCCCTCTTTCGCCCACGCACGCGAACCACCGCACACGCACTCGCACACACGCACGCACTCGCCGCGGCGGCGGAGGTGGTCGAAGAGGAGTGCGTCGTCGCGCCCGCGGAGCTGCTGGCTGTCACAGTCGGCGGCGTTGGCACTTCACATCCTTTTACACGCACGCACTTTGCACGCACATTCGCGGCAACCGCACGGCTTCACTGGCGTCGACACTGCGCACCGACATGGCTTGAGGACGGCGACGGCGCAAGAGGCGGCTTCCACGCTCGCTGCCGGTACCGGTTTCGGCGAGAGGAGGAGAGAAGACGGTGCACGACGAGGAGAGAGGAGAACGCACACTCCGGGATCACTCCCTGGAATCTCCGTAGCACTGGGGCGGCGAAGGGTCATCGCCGGTCACTCGGCTGGCCGTCGGCCGGCGCGGGCCATGGCGGGCGGCTGCGGCTGCAAAGCAAACGAGCACACGACAGATGGCGTGAGTGGCGGCCGCGGCGCGCCGTGTTGCGTGGCGGCGCGGAGGGGGGAAACAGACCGGCCGAACCCGACTGACTGAGGAACTCGCGCGGCGCGACTCAACCGCCTCGCTCGGCGCTCTCCAGCAGACTGAGGAGGGCCGGTCGCGGGGGTACCGGCGAAGCCCGCTCCGCCGCCACCGCCGCCGCCGCGGTGCGGTGCCCCTCGGCCGTGGCCTTGGCGGAGGCAGCGGCGGCGACCAACCAGCCCGGCCGGTCCGTCCCCACCCCAGCGCCGCGGCGCGGAGCCTTCCACTTCGCTCGGCTGCCCCGCGCCCCGCGCTCCCACCGCGCCGCCCCGCGCCCGCTCGCTCTACCTGCAGCTTCTGCGCGCCAGCTCCAGACGGCGCCCCAGTCTTCGAGCCGGCCGGCTCGCGGCCGCGTCGACCACGGCGGGCGTTGCGCCGCCCTGCCCTGCGCTGCGCTGCGCTGCGCTGCGCTGGGCGCTGGAGACTCGGCCTGCGACGCAGCCTCCGCCGCCGCCGACGCAGGAGACAGCCGCGATGCGCCGCCGACGCGGCGCCCTGGGAACAAGGCGCGCACCAGCGCGGTTGGCGACCAGGGGCTTTTGGAAGGGAGGCGCCGCGACGTTGGGCTTTTCGAAGGGGAGCGAGCGGGTAAAATGGAGATGTGGGTGGAGCCACAGAATTAGTTATCCAACATATACATGTCTTCGGGTAGATATTAGGAGTAGATGCGCCGCAAGCATTCATTGCCGAACCTATTCTATCGATATAGAAGAAGTTTAACGCCTTTGGCTTTCTCTTCCAATACGTGGGATTTAGGCCTATAATGTTTTATGTAAAGTAATCCTGACTGCGTTTTAGGCCTACTCTTTGTTATTGAAGATTTATGACTGATAATGGTATTTCGAAAATTGTACTTACAAATAATACAAAATAAAACTTCTATGATAAATTTAATCATCTAAATTTCGTGTGTTTATCACCCTATTCGAAGATATTATTTGCAAAATTCCTTTTTTTTAATATTAGAGTATGCTCTTTGACATTAGCTGTCTCCCGCGAGTCCATGCTTCTCCGGCACGTCAACAATTTTATGCAGGGAATTTCGCGCTTGTGCTAGAATTGAAATCTCTTGTCTGCAAATCGATAATCATGCAAGTGATTGATTTTTATTCTCAACCTTGTTTCTCAAATAATTATTTGTGTTCTCGCCTAACGAATATTATTTATATAAATATTGTTTTACTCGGTGAGTACTGACGCTTTTTCAAAGTTAAACATATGGATTTCAAGTAATGACATATTTATTCCCTCATACGTACAAAATATTTATTCTAGTGTTTCCAATGACGTTAATTATTCCTGTGTTTAAATGTGGAGATAAATACTGTTTTTGTATGTTCATAAAACAAGTAACTTCATGACGGTTTCGATATTTTAGTTTCGAAAAAACTTATTTGCGGGAAGGTGCGTTTTATCAATCTAATATAGAGAATTTTCCCCCACATGAAGTCAAGGTTTTTGAATTTTGCTTCTGCGATATTGTTTTGATATTAACTTTTTGCTACTCTTCTGTGACTGAACCAGGCAACATGACCGGGGTTCTACGTCTGATCGCTCTTATAGTTCGTTCGTGAATATTATATTCAGTATTAAAACTTTAATCGGCCGCATATTGAATATATTTGCTCTTGCCGTATGCGTTGCTTTAATTTGATTTCAAAGACCCGCTCAATTACTGTCTTCGAAACCCCAGTATATCTTGACGTCCACTTCCACCCTGATGTGATTTAGGCTGTCTTTTGTGTCACTTTTGTGAACAATTTAAAACTGTAACGATGACATGCAAGGTGTGTTGTTGGTTTTGTTGTTTTTTTTTTTTTTTTTTCAAAAGTAAAACGCAGCCATTTAAACGTGTATTGCCTTGAATCAAATGTCTGTTCATTTGAATTCAATAAAATTATATACGGTTTACAATCTACTCTTTTCTTCATTAAGGTGATTTAACTGTATATTTTAACCATATGCATTTGCGATAAATTTTAATGAATTGAGTCGGTGGTTTTGGCTTAGTGCCACACTCAGTAATATTTGAGTTACGTTCCGCATTTATGAGATTGAGAAAATTGCAGGTTACTTAACTCGAGAAAATTTTCTTTCTTGCTTAGAAGCAAGCCGTAGTCTTCGTCGCGCACACACAACAGAGCATTTACTTTTCGTGTTTGCTATCTTTTCTGCACGCTTGTAATGTGACGACGGCCTACCTAGCAGAAATAATTGCAATGCCTTCGTTCTTACAAATCACTATTTGTATTCTATTTTTAATACTTGAATACATTCTACATTCTCCGTAAGGGAAATGAAGTTCTAATTTGAGAAAATCAATCAAATGGAGTTTGTTTGATAACTTTTCAACAAGTGAAATCATCTCACATTTTTCATATATCACAAAGTATTTGTAAGGTCGAAGTGGAGTGGATTTGAAAACTGCTTTAAAGAAAGAAAATTCTGTGTCGTTTTGTTCTTCGGTAATATCATTCCAGTATTTAACAGACCTCAGTTGCTCATTTTGTAATATATTGAAATCATTTTGCTAGTATCACACTCCCGATTTTGCTCTTTAAAATATACTGAATAATATTCTAACGAAAAAATTGTTAAATAACGGTGCATTTAATCATGGCATTTGTGTATTCTTTGTTTAGAAATGCATATTAGTGGACGGTGAATGTCAACAGCTTGAAAGATTTTCTTGAACAGTTGCCCGTCGCTTCTGCACAATCACATAGTACAAAACGTTCTCTAATTAAGAACCGCAATCAGTATTGAAGCACTATAAATGAATCATTTTTGTGATCGAGTGTATATATATGTTACTTGTAAGCTGAATACCAATTAATAGGGCATGATTTGCGTATATTTCGTAGACTGATGCTCATATTTTTCGATAACTATCCTCTATTGTTTGTCAACTGGACATTTATCGTTTTGCTAATGACGTAGGTGTATCAGGTAGAGATGTTCGATGTAACGCCTGCAGTGTTGTAGTATATAAACATGCAGATTTTAGTTCGTTTGTTTTGAAGCCATGTAGAGAGTTTCGCATATGTATAGATTCCCTTTTCAGAATTCGGATCTGTACATCACTTTTCAAGTTCTCAGCTAAGAAACTGCTCTGCCGGGGCACTATTTGCTTTCCCCGATTTTCCACATTCGCCCATTATTATCATATTATTCACCCGTGACGTAGAATATATGTACTAGTGGAGTTATAATTTTGCCCGCGTCATAAGTGTGAGTTAAGGAATTTGGCGTACGGTCTGATATGTACAACAGGCCGAAGTAACTTTTTTTTAGCTCGTTACAAATCTTCTATTTCGTCATACATTGAATGCACAGTGCATATATATAATGGTGTTCGAGGATACAACTAACTGAATCTGTGCCTCGCTCTTTTGCTCAGCAAATCAGCTTCTACTAATCCGATCTGCTGTTCATATTTGTTTCCTCCGATTTTATTAATATTATGTACTCATATTATTATTTGGAGTACTGGACGTTCGTGTACATACGAGTTGGGCGTTGTGTGGGCTCGCCGGCGGCGCGGGCGCGGGCAGATACGTTCTGTTGGCGTCGGCGGCGATGGCGCGGCGTAGCACGGCACAGCCCAGCCCGCCGGGCCAAGGCGAGGCGCGGTGCGTCCGTGTTAGAACGAGGTGGCAGAATTCGTGTTTCGGAAAGCCCGACGCGCCCGCCCACCCGTCCGCTTGCCCACCCCGTTTCCAAACAGCCCTGTCCCAACACCCGCGCCGCATCAGCATAAGCCGGCCTTTTGTCTCATGTTGACTCTGGGCGCCGCCGTGGCCTCCACCGCCGCCGCCGCCGTCGCTGTTTGAGCTTCAGCAGAAGAAAGCTTTTACCCTGTGTTAATTGGTGGGCGGTTTACGGCGCGCCGTATCATCCCCAGCTCCACGCCCGCGGGCGGTGGGTGGGGAAGGCTTGAATATTTTACAAAGAAAATTATTGAGAAGTTTGAGTTGCTTATCTTCGCGAATTAGGCGTAAAATTTGCCTTTAGGTTACACTGCTGCCTGCTTGAAATACGTTGTTTGTTTTTTGGGTGGGGCGTTAGTTGGTGAGGTGCTACATTCAGATTATTGTACATTAAAATCTATTGCACTAGCATCTGTACTTTCAGTTTTAACTTTTCTGAAATTTGTTGCGAAAGAGCGAACGAATCTCATCAAACATAGACGATGCAGCAGCTTATGTGTGTTTTTTGATGCCTTTTAAAAGAATATATAGAATGCAGCTACCACGATGAACTTGCTTCCCCGAAATTACCCGTTTGGCGGGGAGTTGCGAGGTATTTTTGCATTTCAGTTTTCCGTATACGGGTGCAACTCGCTTTATTGTGCTGTGTGTTTAGGTGTTTGCATTATACGCGTCGCATTCAACTGCACTACAACTTGTCTCTACAGATTGTGGGAGTGGCAAATATTTGCTTTCAGCTGTGTTTTTTTTTTGTTTTGTTTTCGCGAACGTTGCATGTTTCTGCAGAAGGAAAAAACAGCTTTCATAAAACTTCATACACATGCTTGGGCGTGGCGTAACCGAGCGTGTAGGAGAAGTGGGCGG